TGGAAAAGAGTAACAAGGAGAACATTTTTGAAATTCCTTGTCAAGTTTGCTTGCAGTTCTTATTGGTTTTCAATAAAAACTAACAAAAACACAACAACAATACTAACATAAGAAAGTTCTGGGAATGAAGTGTCGTTATGGACAAACAAAAAGTCGTTGATGTGAGGGTAATTCCAGGAATATGAAAACCCTAGGATGGGAGTCAGAAAAATATAAAAAATTTAAAATATGATTGAGTAAATTTAAAAGAAATATATATAGAAAATATATAACTTCAAAATAATTTAAATCCATTGGTCATTTAAAATGATTGTGGAATGACCCATAAATCAAATTTATTTTTTCATGCCTTTTTTTTGGAAGGAAAATAAAATTGTTACATTATAGAGTTGCTGAAATTTTGACAGGATACAGATGAAACTCAGCTGCCAGGACAGTGTGTGTTTACGTGTGCATGTGTGTGTGTGCAGATAATAATATCTTGGCCAATCTGTTTCCCTGCAGTTTTCCAATGCACTGCACTTTGGACACAATTGTCCAAAGGAAAAAAAAACATTTTTCAAAAACGTGCTGTCTGTTACAAAGTTATAAATGATCTGTTTAAAGAAGTTATGGGACAAGTAAATCAGCAGGACAGCGAACGAAGAAGAAGAAAAAACAAGGGATAAACTGATGATAATAAAACGAGAAAACAAGGTGAAATGACGCAATTTAATATTTTTCCCCATGAAGTATTAATAACATGTTTTCCCTGGAAGTCCTGGAGGACTTATTTACAATAACTCGCAAAAATATTTATTTTAATCATTTACCTTTCCTTTTTTTTTTGTTGAAAACGAAAAACATATCCTCCCCTTTGTTTTTCATCAGAAATTGATAAGACCAGCTCGTGTTGTATTTATGTTTTGCTCTTGCCTCTTTTCCCGGGGATAAGTAGGTTCATAGACCTAAGCTTTTGGCATAATAACATGCTAACACCCACACCTCCTCCCCTCCCCCTCCCCCACTCACACTTGGCTACTTGACAAAATGTGGGCTTTCATTTGATTTTTATCGCAGGATGGTTTTTGTGAGGAATCTGACACGTGTCATACCAGGAGAAACAAACACCAATGTGTATTGTCTTGGTTTCCTGGATTTTGGGGGGTGGGGGGCTTGGTGTCCTGGTTGGGAGTTGCCTTTAAATAATCAATTTGATATAATTGCAAGAGAACAAGTAATGATACATATATTGCAGGAGGTAATCAAATTAATTAGCATTTTTCAAATGTAAATTTTTAATGTAATTTCAAATTTTGTTCAATAGACCTTTGGGCGTATGATGTTTGTCAGTACTCATACGATCCCTCACAAAAAATACGCTTCAAAAAAAAAAAAAAAATAAATTTTCAGAATATGAATTTTCTGTAGAAGGGCTTTAAAAGGACGTAAAGAAAAAAACCGATTTTTAACAGGTTTTTTTCAAATATTTTCAGGAGTACAGACCAGGATTTTTCGCAGACATTCAGGATTATAGAGGCGATTTTGTTTTAAAGAAATTTTAGCTAGGATTCCAGAGCTTTAAATTCGATTTTTTCAAATGTACATTTTTAAGGTAATTGCAAATTTTGTTCAATAGGCCATTGGGCGTATGATATTTGTCAGTACTTATACGCTCCCTCACAAAAAACAAAATAAATAACGTTCCTTTAAAAGGACGTTAACGAGAAAAACCCGATTTTTTAACACTTTTTTTTTTCAAATATTTTCAAGGATTTTTAGCAAGGATTCTAGAGCTTTAAATTAGATTTTTTCAGAAAAAAATTTGTATAAGGACTTGTAGGACTTTAAACATAATTTTTTGAAATAAATTTATATTAGGATTGCCAGGACTTTAAATGAGGATTTTTAAATTATGTTTTGAAAGGAATTTTGAAACATTATTTTATAATAATTTTTTTAATGTTTTTAATATTTTTCTTTAAAGACTTCCGGGACTATACACGTGGAGGAATTTAGTTTGATAATTTCCCATTTCTTTCGATATACCATCGGTAGTATGATGGATGCCAGTACACATACACCACACCCAGCCCCTAAAAATGACAAATTTTCAGAATAAGGATTTCCTTAAGAGCATTTCTCAGAGGACTTTAAATAAACTAAGCCGAGACTATTAAAATAAATTTTTACAAAGATTTTTGGGACTACCGACCTGGCGATCCTAAATAAATTCTAGAGCTTTGTTTTTGGTTTTTATAAAAATTTATATGAGGACTTGTAGGATTTAAGGTGCGGATTTTTTTTAAATTCAGTTTCCAGGACTGGACTTCCAGGACAATAAACATAGACTTTAAATTTGATTTAGGTGGGGATTTTTTAATGAAGTTATGCAAGGACATCGAGAACAATTAAAGTAAACTGTAAACTTTATTTTTATAAAAAAAATGTATAAGGACCTGCAGGATTTGAGGTGGATATTTTTAAATTGAAGTTTTGCAAGGACTTCCAGGACTGTATAAAGATAGACTTTTACAAGGACATTTTCAATACATTTTTTTAACCGTAGACTTTTAAAACAATATTTTACAAGGATTTTTAAGGACTTTCAGGACTACGTCAAGAAGAAAAATGTTGAGGTAAATTCTCATTTCGTATGATAGATTCCAGTGCTTATATGCTTCTCCCTAAAAAATGTCAAATTTTCGGAATATGGATTTCCTTCGAAGGACTTCTAAAAGGACTTGAAATACAATAAACCTAGACCTGTGAAGGAAACTTTGTAAAGGATTTTCGGGATTGTATAAGGACCTGCAGGACTTGAGGTGGAAATGTTTGAATTGAAGTTTTGCAAGGACTTCCGGGACTATATAAAGTTAGACTTTTACAATGACATTTGTCATACATTTTTTAAACGTAGACTTTTAAAACAATATTTTAAAAGTGGTTATATATCATTTGATAAGGCCAAAACGTGCCTCATCAAAAAAACAGTTTCAGACCCTAGGTCTCTTTTTGGATGAAATCCGTTTCAGAACATTTGGAGCCAATGTACGTATCTGTCTATGTGTCTGGCTGGTTGGTGCGCACGATAACTCTCGAAGGGAGTATGGTTTCAGACTCTAGGTCTCTTTGGATAAAATCCATTTCAGGACATTTGGAGTCGATCTATGTTTCTGGCTGGTTGACAGACATCTCAATATTTCCATTAACTCCAGATCATTTATAAAGATAGTTGAGATCGGGCCATACCTTCTGATACCTCCCCCACAAAGGGTCAAAGTTTTGAATAACCAAAACGTTTATTAATTCCGAAATAAGCATTAGGTTCTCTTTATATTTCACACATACAAACATTTTTGCTAACACTAGATCTGTTGTAAACATGGTAGAGATCGGACCACTCCTTCTGGTACCTCCTCCACAAAAGGGTAAACATTTCGAATATTTATGAAGCTCATAAAATGCGAAATTAACATCCGATTGCATTCAGACTTGCCATATCTCAATATATTCATCAACACAAGATCTGTTATAAAGTTGGTAGAGATCAGACCGTAGCTTCTGGTACCTCCCCCACAAAGAGTTCAAGATGTTGAAAAACAAAACGCCCAATGAAAGTGAAACAAAAATAAAAATTTAACAAATCCAAATATTTTTGCTAAAGCAAGATCTACCAACCCCTTCAGGTACCTCACCCACAAAGGGTGACAATTTCCAATACTCATATCTATCATAACTAAATATTTCTCTTAACCAGAAATTTTTGATATTTTTATCTGAATTAGATAAAGTATGAAAATGGAACACTTGGGTCGTCTATAACTGTTACCTCAGGAATATTTCCACATTTTACACAAATTTGCACATATCTCATATATAAAGTATAGGAAGCAGTCTATATAGTCCAAATATGGCACGTTGTAAAATTTATATCAGACTGAGGTCATACGATACGAATTGGTCAATATTGGCCAACTGCTTCGGAGCCTCCCCCATAAAGGGTCAACAGCTTGAATAATCATAACTCAAGGCTGGGGGTATACATCTGTGGCCAAAACCGACTGATACTATTTTGCTTGTTTTTTTTTTAACATTTCGTATAATTCCCTATGACATTTATTTTTCTTTAAACATTATTTCAATGGCTCTCCAGTCTCTCCAGGTGTCTAATATGTGGAAAAATTAAAAAAAACCTTTGCTTTATCTCAAAACTCCCCAGTTCCTTCGTACGTATAATTACTGCCATTACTCATACGCCTTATTTCAAAAATCAAAAAATATTGAATTGGGAACCCTTTGCTTATCAATTGATTTCGGTTTTTCTCAACAACAGATTTTCCATTTTCTTTGAAGCTAATCCAAGCCTTAACATTGTGGTTAACCACACAATTAACATTTTTTGATGAGTTGGCAGTAAACACCAATTTTGTGTTGGTTTCTTGCCTGAATGGTTCTTCTCTCTCTTTCTCTCCTCCCCTTTTCTTGGCTCCAAATAATTTCCATTTCGTTCTTTCTTTCTCAAGTTCCAGCTGTCTATTATGATTTGCAACAAAACAACACAAAAAATGAAAAAAAGGGAATTGAATTTGAAACTTCCTTCCAAATGTCGAAATGTTAATTTGCAAATTCAACAATCAATAAGGATTTGTTGCTGGGCATGTTTAAGGATTCCAGAGACAGCCTAAATGGAATTAGAAAGTAAGCTTTTGAAAACAGCAGCCACGACAAATAAATATAATTTGAAGTGACAGGCAGGCAATGGAGGGGGGAGGAAAACCCCAACAATTTGCATGGCAAATTTCTGGGCATTGTTCGGCCAAAAGAAATGCCATTACCCGAAAACAGGCAACAAGCTATGGCCCAGCAGATGATAAGGGTTTGGCTACTCATTTACTTTTTTCAAAACGAAACAATCTGGTGGCCATAGAGAAACACAAAAACTTGATTGGTTTGACTTTTGAACAAAGCACCCGATTTTGTGGCTGGGTGAGAGGGTAGGTTTTGATATTTTTACTTACCATCTGGGCCACACAAAAACAATGCCGGAAATTGTGAAACGGCACCTCATTGTAGTGCTTGTACACCTCATAAAGCCACTCCCGCAACGTGTCCAGGGGTATATTGAATTTCTCAATAAATCCCAGCTCAATGAACATGGTCTGCATCAGATGAATGATATCGGCATCGCTCCACTCGTACGAATCGAAGGCCGGCAGACGCAGGGCATTGCGCACCTCTTCCGAGAAGGTGGTGTCGCATATTTCCAGGAAGCGTTTTTTAACCTCCTGGTGTTTGGGCAAGCTACTTTTGCGGCACTGGGGACCCATGGGACGCTTGGAAAGACCTGTAAGAAAAAAAAACACAAAAGAGAGGATAAAATTATATTTCCTTTATTTTCATTTAAGGATAAGAAAATATCCTTTTCACAAAAAAAGAAGAGAATGGGAGGCAATCGAAGATAGTCACTAATTTCTAGAACATAAACATTTGCAAAATGAAAAAAAAAAAACGAAAATCATGAAAAAAATGGCATTCACTTAAGCTAATATCCTGGCCAGCCAGGATACTGTTGTTGTTGTTGGTGCTACTGCTGTTGCTACTCTTGTGCATGATACTTCCCCCCCTATCCTGACACACACACAAACAGGAAATATGGAGGCCAATTGGAAACGGAAATTAAATTTAAATGCAATCCAGCTACAAACATTAGTTATGGATATTTTGCATTGCTGTTGTTATTTTTCCACTGGCAACAGGACATGATGTTTACCGTTTGCTGGCCAGGATGTCCAGTCTTTTTTTGCCTGGCACAAAACAAAAATCAAATTCAATTTTCCACCAAAAAGGCAAAATCACCGCTAAACACAAAGGCTAACACTGATTGAATTCCTCTTTCCAATGCCGTTAGACCGAAAAGCCAACAATGTCTGGCTTCCAGGACCCTCGCCTTCTCTCTCTCTCCCTCCCTCTCTAATTCTCACTCTCTATACCAAATGCAAAAAAAAAGAAAACTAGAAAAATAATTAAATCAATGAAGGCATTGCTCAACAATAAACCAGCTGTAATGCTGAATGACAGCTGAAGCTGAATGGACGTCGTACGTCAATGGCAGCCAGAAGTTGGAGGAAAAAAATACATAGAAGCAGCTCTCGCAGGCAGCCGGGCAACCAACCAGCCAGTCATCCATTCTTGCCATGGCAGCATGGTAATTAGGAAGGACTCCTCACTACCTCAATTAGAGCGCATACATATATATATTTTTCGATTCCCTATACCATGGACTCTGAGGTAGGGTAAGTTGGATATTGAATTTGCAACACTCTTGGAATTGAAAAAAAGGATATTCAGAGTAAAGGATGTGGATTTTTTTCTCTAAATTATTTTCCTTCACAGCCGGAAAAGTGTTGGCCTATAAAAATGTATTTTGGAGGACCTTCAAAGGATATTGTCCTTTGAAGGATCTCTTAGCCACACAGGCTAGTTTTTGGAAATACTCTTAACTTTTTTTTAAAACTAGAAAAGAGTTCAAAATTTATAAATATTTTCCAGGACCTTAAGGATTGTGGGCTTTGCTTATCTCTTAAGGACCCATAACAAATGATATTTATATAACTGTAATATTTTTAAGGACCCTCAAAGAAGGACCCAAAGAATTTTTAATATATTTTTTCCGGATATTTTTAGAGTCTTTGAACGTGGGTTTTTTAAAAATATTTTTCAAGGACCTTCAAGACAAGAAGATATTCTCAAGATATTTCTTTAAGGACTTTCAATGGAATGTGGATTTCTTAAAAATATTTTTTAAGGACCTTCAATGAACTTGAATTCATTAAAAAATATTTTTCAATAATTGTGGCACGTGAATATTTTTCCAGGGACGTTCTTTGATCCTGATTTTTTTAGGATTATTTTTTAAGGACTTTCAATGAACGTGGGTTTTTCAAAAAATATTTTTAAGGACCTTCAATGGACGCGAATTTTTAAAAATAATTTTTTGGCACCTTCAATAAACTGGGATTTTTTAAAAACATTTTTAAGGAACTTCAATGAAAGTGAATTTTTTAAAAATTATTTTTTAAGGACCTACTATGAACCTGCAATTTTTAAAAATTATTTTTTAAGGACCTACTATGAACCTGCACTTCTTAAAAATTATTTTTATGGACCTATTGTGAACCTGGATTTTTTTAAAAATATTGTTTCGGGGACTTTCACAAAACCTAGATTTTTAAATTTGTTTTTCAAGGACCTTCAAGAAACCTAGATTTATTTAAAACATTTTTCAAGAGCCTTGAAGGAACCTAGATTTCATAAAAATATTTCTCAAGGACCTTCACTAGAATTGGATTTTTTAAAAATATTTTTTTGAAGGACTCACAATTAACGTAAATTTTTATTAAAATATTTCTTCAAGGACCTTTTATAAACCTGCATTTAAATAAAATAATTCCAAGGATCTTAATAGAACATGTTTTTTAATATTTTTAAAGAGCTTCAATGATCGTAAATTTTAAAAAAAATTTTAGAGATCTTCAATGAACATAGATTTTTTTAAAAAAAAAAGAAACTTCAAGAATTGTAGATTTTTTCAAAAATAATTTTGAAGCAACTTTTATGAATGTGGATTTTTAAGAAATATTTTTTCAATGACCTTCTATGAACGTGTTTTTTTTTAGAAATCCTTTCATCTTCTTCTTCTTTAGATCTTCAATGAAGGTGAAGTTTTTTAAAAATATATTTTAACGGCCAAGGACCTTCAATGGACGTGGATTTTTTAAAAATATTTTTAAGGACCTTCTATGATACTGTTTTTTTAATTGTCTGAGGACATTAAAAAAACGGGGAGTTACAAAAATATTTTTCTAAGCATCTTTAGAGAACGGGGATTTAAAAAAAAAAAAAAAATTCCAAGGACCTTCAATGAACGTGGATTTCTTAAAAATATTATTTAAGGACTTTCAATGATTGCGGAGTTCTTAAAAATATTTTTTAAGGACGTCTTATGAAAGTGAATTTTTTAAAAACTTCTTATGAAATTGGATTTTTTAAAAATATTTTTTTATGTGCCTTCACTGAACATAGATTTTTTAAAATTATTTTTCAAGGACATTCAAGAAATGTAAAATGTTTTAAAAATATTTTTCTAGGACTTCCAAAGGCCGTGGATTTAAATAAACTAATTCCAAGGACATTAAATGAACGTGGATAGTTTGAAAAATATTTTAAGGACCCTCAAAGAACGAATTTTTAAAAGGATAAAGGATTTACAAAAAACGTGAATCCTTATTTACATACTTTTTTCAAGGTCATTCAATGAAGATGGATTTTAAAAAATATTTTGTAAGGACCTGCAATGAAAGCGAATTGTTTGAAAATATTTTCTAAGATTCTTCAACGAAGGTAGATTTTTAAGATATTTTTAAGGACCTTCACTGAATTGAAATTACTTATTTTTTAAGGACCTTCAATGAATTTGAATTTGAAAAAAATAAATTTTTTTTAAAGAACCTTAAATGTCGATTTTTTAAAAATACTTTTTTTATTGTATTCGTTTTAGTCCATTTTTATAGTCTTAATTCCCTTACACGTTTTCCTTATATTTTTTTTGAGAAGTCTAAGTTTTTAGCTCTGAATGTCTTTGATATTTTTTTTGAAAGTCACCGTTAATATGCTTGGTGTAATTTATTTAGGTTAATTGTCCTGAATGGACTTTAACTTTTTTTTATTACAAATTCTCGTTTATAGCCTTCAATGTCCTTGTGGAAATATGGTTTATAGTCCTTAATCCACTTTTCAGACTTACAGCAAATCTTAAGGGGAAATTGTCCAATAATTCCATTTTTGTAATCCTTCTAGAGGTATTTATGAAATATTAGAATCCTCAGGCCAAAATATCTTTGTCTAACTAATTTTGAGTAGGGTTTCTCAAATTCGTCCTTGCCAACTAGCTTCCCCCTATTTCTTTCATTCTTCCATTTACTTCTACTTAAGGTGATTGCTCTCATGGTTTCATTCTGGGAAATTTCCAAGTACAATGAATTTCACTTGAATTTAATATGGTAATGTAGAAGTCGCCGGGGGAGAGGCGGAGAGTGGGAGCAGAAAAGGGAAACCAAAGAGGACGACTAAACACAAAAAAAAATCGTACATTAACTAAGCAATTTCTTGCTTTTTTGTTTTATAAGTGTTATAGTTTTTTAAAGAGGGAAACTGGAAAAAGCAAGAAAGTCTTAATCCTGCCACTTTGGGTATCCCATTCCTCCCTCCCGCACTGCCTCTGCTGCTGCATGCAGTTGATTGCAGCTGTTACAGTTAAATGTTGATGATGCAAGTCATTACCTTAAAACCTAGATTAAACAAAGCAACAACAAGAGCAAAAAAAAAATCTAGTAACAAGGAGAAATCGCGTTACGGGCGATGTTATGGCCAGGGAACAATTTTGCAAATTTAGCAATAAGAAAATGTATAGGGGATTTTTTTTTGCTGGCAAAGGATCATGGAAAATAATCCTTAAACTGTATTTGGAAAAAACAATATTTTCTGGTTGGTTTATTAAAGATCAGGGGTAAAAAATGCAGGGTTAGGTATATGAGGGCAATTAAATTTTAATGGATTTGCTTTATGGTGCTCCCACAGGACGTATGAGTAATGGAATTACTTATACATAAAGAGTGATTTTTTAAAAAAAAAAGGAGGATCCTTTAAGGAAAGTGGAAAATATTTTTCCAGGTCTTTTACAAATGATTTTTTTTATATCTTTTCGAAGTCCTTTGAAGAATATTTTTTTTAATATCACTAAAAGAACGATGTTTTGTTATAGTTCTATAGTTGAGTTCCTTTAAAAACGTGGATATTTCTTAAATATAAATTTCAAGGTCCTTCAAAGAAGTTAAAGTTTTTAATAATAATTTTCCAAGGACTCAGAGATTGTAAATTTTTCACATCATCTTAAGAATGGATGGATTCTTCAAAACATATTCAAGGACTCTTTAAGAAACCACGATTTTTAGAAATATTTTTTAAGGACTGAAGAAGAAAAGAGTAAATAAAACGTGGATTTTTAAAAAATATATATTTTAAGGACCATAAAAAAACGTGGGTTTTAAAAAAAATATTTTTAAGGACTATAAATAAAACGTAGATTTTTCAAAAAAAAAAAAAAAAAAAAAAAAAAAAATTAAGGTCTATAAATAAAACGTAGATTTTTCAAAAAAATATTTTTACGAACTATAAATAAAACGTAGATTTTTCAAAAAAATATTTTTACGAACTATAAATAAAACGTAGATTTTTCAAAAAAATATTTTTACGAACTATAAATAAAACGTGGATTTAAAATAAAAT